TTTTTCTAATTTTGATTATTTTTTTCAGAAACTATATCAACTATTTGTAACAAGTCTTTTTAGTTCAAATTTCCTAAAGGTCCCATACATATTTACATACTACCGAAAAATGGATTTATTGTTAATAACTCGCCCTATAATATCGGTATTACCACAAACTTTTGCACAGATGAATCTCATATCAGTAAAAATCATAGTATCAACTGAAACCTACTTCCAAAAGCCTATTAACGAACATAATTCATTAACAAATAAAAATATAGGGACAAAATTTAGCACAATTATTGACTTTGTCAAAATCGGCCAATATTTGGTCATATATTACATATAAAGACTACTTTCGAAGATGACTAACGAACCTGCTAAAATTGAGGTCACTCCGCATACAAGCGTAAAGAGCACTCATTTTGTTTTCAAAAGGAGGGTCCACGTCTGCATTACATAGAATACTAAACAGATCAGATTGGGATTACCTTAATGGATCTGGTACTCCAAGATAGTTAGCTAGGTAGTTAGTTAGTTAGTTAGTTAGTTAGTTAGTTAGTTAGTTAGTTAGTTAGTTAGTTGTTATTTAGTTAGTTAGTTTAGTTAGTTAGTTAGTTAGTTAGTTAGTTAGTTAGTTAGTTAGTTGTTAGTTAGTTAGTTAGTTAGTTCGTTAGTTCGTTTTTAGTTAGTTAGTTCGTTTTTCGTTCGTTCGTTAGTTCGTTAGTTCGTTAGTTAGTTAGTTAGTTTTTCGTTAGTTAGTTAGTTCGTTCGTTCGTTTCGTTCGTTCGTTCGTTGTTCGTTCGTTCGTTCAGTTCGTTCGTCGTTCTTAGTTCGTTGTTCGTTCGTTCGTTCGTTCTGTTCGTTCGTTCGTTCGTTGTTCGTTCGTTTGTTCGTTCGTTCGTTCGTTCGTTTTCGTTCGTTCGTTCGTTCGTTCGTTTTTTGTTCGTTCGTTCGTTCGTTCGTTCGTTCGTTCGTTCGTTCGTTCGTTCGTTCGTTCGTTCGTTCGTTCGTTCGTTCGTTCGTTCGTTCGTTCGTTTCGTTCGTTCGTTCGTTCGTTTCGTTCGTTCGTTCGTTCGTTCGTTCGTTCGTTCGTTCGTTCGTTCGTTCGTTCGTTCGTTCGTTCGTTCTTTCGTTCGTTCGTTCGTTCGTTCGTTCGTTCGTTCGTTCGTTCGTTCGTTCGTTCGTTCGTTCTTCGTTTTGTTCGTTCGTTCGTTCGTTCGTTCGTTCGTTCGTTCGTTCGTTCGTTCTTCGTTCGTTCGTTCGTTCGTTCGTTCGTTTCGTTCGTTCGTTCGTTCGTTCGTTCGTTCGTTCGTTCGTTCGTTTTCGTTCGTTCGTTTGTTCGTTGTTCGTTCGTTCGTTCGTTCGTTCGTTTCGTTCGTTCGTTCGTTCGTTCGTTCGTTCGTTTCGTTCGTTCGTTCGTTCGTTCGTTCGTTCGTTCGTTCGTTCGTTCGTTTCGTTTCGTTCGTCGTTCGTTCGTTCGTTCGTTCGTTCGTTCGTTCGTTCGTTCGTTCGTTAGTAGTTAGTTAGTTAGTTAGTAGTTAGTTAGTTAGTTAGTTAGTTAGTTAGTTAGTTAGTAGTATGTTAGTTGTTAGTGCGTTAGTTAGTTAGTTAGTTAGTAGTTTTAGTTAGGTTAGTTAGTTAGTGAGTTAGTTAGTTAGTTCGTTAGTTAGTAGTATTTCGTTAGTTAGTTAGTTAGTTAGTTAGTTAGTTAGTTAGTAGTTAGTTAGTTAGTTAGTTAGTTAGTTAGGAGTTAGTTAGTTAGTTTAGTAGTTAGTTAGTTAGTTAGTTAGTTAGGTTAGTTAGTTAGTTAGTTAGTTCGTTAGTTAGTTAGTTAGTTAGTTAGTTCGTTAGTTTAGTTAGTAGTTAGTTAGTTATTTAGTAGTTAGTTAGTTAGTTGTTGTATTAGTTATTGTAGTTAGTTAGTTAGTTTAGTTAGTTAGTTAGGTTAGTTAGTAGTTAGTTGTTAGTTAGTTAGTTAGTTAGTTAGTAGTTATGTTAGTTAGTTAGTTAGTTAGCCCTTTATCAGTGCCTCAGGTGGGAATTAAACCCACGACATCCGGTCTACCTGAAAATCGGGCTAAAATTCGACTAGAATCATTCTGTGGATATAATTTGCTGTAGGCCCATAACTGATCATAGCTTCCATGAAAGGACCTCAATACTTAAATCGAAATAAAATTCGGTCCATTATTTGCAAATTATAAACAAGATTCTTACATTTCTATACATATTCGACATGTTATAGGTGAATGTTACTTTAGATTCGGCATAGCTGCACTTGTTTAGGAAGTCTGGTCGGCTTAGGTTTCTACAGAAAAAGATTTCCTTATAAATCGTTGAATTAAATTTAAGAGTTGATAAGAGTTGTATTCAAACACGGTTTAAATTAATTATATGAAACTGATTTTAAAACAACAGTGATCCGAAATTTGATTCGTTGCCAGTCCTTAAATTAATAATTACTTTTATACGTAGACAAAATAATTTAAACTTAATTCCATTTTAATTTGATTACCTTCACTTCATTTAGTTATTCTTTTAATTAAGATTTCATACCTACCTAACTACCTTTACAAAGTAAAGAATTTTTAATATCTTAACGATTCTACATGATTTATTTCTATGTATATGTACACACTTTTCAAATGAAAACATTTAAATAAAATAATATTTTAATTAAGCCCTCTTAATTTGGTAACGTTGCCATATCGTTTTAGTTATCACAACAAAATAAACATTTATTTTTAATTGCCACCAATTAAGTAAAACAAAATACTTTTAATGATGTGTTGAAAAAATGCAATTATAAAACTGAGAGACTAAAAATGTACATTAAACTAAAAAAAAAAAAATATTAAAATTTTTCTAATCATACGACGAGTATTTAAAATAAATTGTACAAAACACATTACCATAAAATGCAGATACATATTAATATTTATTAAGTTTTTTTTGTTGTTATTGTAATAACTATAGCTTTGCTGTTGCTGCAGTTATTAATATTTAGATAAATATTTAAAATCGTGACAAAATCATTTTGCTTTTTTTGTGAAATATAATAAAAAAAATATATATTTTACATTTCAATTAGAAATGCCCTACGTATTGAAAAGGTGTAAAGGTGGGTTAATTAAATTGATAGTGACACTTTTTTTAATAGAAGAAAATAATAAATAATTTATTAGAAAATGAGCAATAATAATGTTATAATTTTTGTTTTGTTACTATAAATTTCATACTTTAATTCTGTATTAAATATATAAGGAAAATATTCTCAAAATCGGGCTTCATCTGGGCAGATGGCAAAGTTGATTTATTTCTATTTTTACCCAATTTCTCATTACCATTTCTCTCTCATCAAAAGAAATATTTAAAAAAAAATACTGCTATTATCTTGTACACAACTGTTAAACTTAAAATTTTCTTTTTCTACCAACAAATTATACAAATTAAATTTCCTTTTGAATGCGCGCAAAAAGAAAATAAAAAAAGCTTCTTTTATTTCACATTCCTATAAAAATCAATGTTTAACGAAAAAAATTTTCTTTTTTCTACACAACATCAAAAACTAAAAAAAAATCGTAAAAAAATATAACAAACAAAAGGTGCCGCTGTTCAAAGTGCCACACGTTCGCCGGCATTCAACAAAGATAAATATTTTACTTTGTTGGTACTGGATGACCACAATACAGACTGGTCGAAATATTTCCGTGGTAAACGTTTACATGGCGATTATGATATACGTGTCGAACAAGCTGAATTTAGGGTAAGTTGCAATAATAACAACAATAATGTATACAATAACAAGTGGATATTGGCATTTGTTGCCTTTAAATACATATCAGTTATACAACTTGCATACATATGTAAATTATAAATATTTTGTAAGGTTTTAAAGAATTACTTATAATATATATTGACTTTATAAACATAGGTTTAATAAACATACATATTCCATAATGGATTTGTTTTATTATTAATTGTTAATATTTTTATTATTCCTTAAGGATATCACTTTACATGCTAGTGCTGAATCTGGTCCCGTCGTAACAATGGAAGTTTATAGAGGTGATTCAAGGGTAAGTTGAAAATATTTTACATTTCTAACAATAACTTTTAAAATAGAGTACTTTTTTAGGATTAAACGTATTAAATTACTTTTCGACTATATTTTCTATTGACAAGTCTATTCAATAGTCTATGGACCAACCCATTGACTTGTCTATGGACTAGTTCATTGACTAGTCCATGTACTAGACAATTTACTAATATGTGGTCTAATCTATTGCATAGTCTGTGAACTAGACTATTTACCCTTCTATGAACCTATTGACTAATCAAGAAATTAGTCTCTGGAGTAGCCTATAAACTAATCTATGCACTAATTTAGCGACTAGTATATGCAGTAGTCTATGGACTAATCTAGGGACTAGTCTGTTTATTACTCTAAGCAACAGTCAATGGACTAGTCTATTGATTAGTCAAAGAACTATTCTAAAGATAAGTCTATTGACTGGTGTTTAGCCTAATCTAGGGACTAGTCTATGGACTAGTCTATTTACTAATCTAACGACTAGTCTATTGACTAGTCTAAGGTCTAGACTAGTGTATGGTCTAGTCCATAGACTAGTCTAAGGACTAATCCATTGACAGGTCTTGAGTCTAATTTATGGACTAGGCTATTGCCTAATCTAGAAACTAGTCTATGGCCTTGATAACTCTATTAACTAGTCTATGAACTAATATAGGAACTAATATATTGACTAGTCTATGAACTAGCCTATAAACTAGCCTATTGACTAATCTAGGGACTGGTCCATGGAGTAGTCTATGAACTAGTCTAAGCACTAGTTTATGGACTAGTCTATTGACTAATGTAAGAACTAACCTATGGACTAATCTAAGGAATAGCTATCCTATTGACAGATCTAGGGACTGGTCTATGGAATAGTTTATTAACTAGTCTACGAACTAATTTAGAAACTAATCTATGGACTAGTCTATTGCCTAGTCTATTAACTACTCTATTGACTAGACTATTTACTAGACTATTGACTAGTCTAGAGACTAGTTTAGGGACTAGTCTATTGACTAGTAAATTGATTAGTCAATTGACTAGACTATTGACTTATCTTTTGACTAGTCTAGAGACTAGTTTAGGGACTAATATATTGACTAGTCTATGAACTAGCCTATAAACTAGCCTATTGACTAATCTAGGGACTGGTCCATGGAGTAGTCTATGAACTAGTCTAAGCACTAGTTTATGGACTAGTCTATTGACTAATGTAAGGACTAACCTAGCTATCCTATTGACAGATCTAGGGACTAGTCTATGGAATAGTTTATTAACTAGTCTACGAATTAATTTAGAAACTAATCTATGGACTAATCTATTGACTAGTCTATTGACTAGACTATTGACTACATTATGGCCTTGTCTATTGACTAGTCTATTCACTGGACTATTGACTAGTATATTGACTAGTATATTAACTAGTCTATTGACTAGACTATTGACTTATCTATTGACTATCTAGAGACTAGTCTAGGGACTAGTCTATTAACTAATCTAATAACTAGCCTATATACTAGTCAATGGACTTCTCTATTGACAACTCTATTAACTTGCCTATGGAATAGTCTCATGTCTAGTCTATAGACTTGTCTATTGAATAATCTAAGGACTAGATAATATACTAATTTAAGGACTAGTCTATGACCTAGTTTATGGACTATCCTATTGACTGATCTGGGGACTAGTCTATGGAGTAATTCATTGACTAGTCTATGATCTAATCTAGAGACTAATATATTAACTAGTCTAAGGACCTGTCTATTGACTAACCTAAGGATTAGACTATTGACTAGTCTTTTGTCTAGTATATTGACTAGTTTTTTGACTAGTATATTGACTAGTCTATTTACTAATCTAGAGAATAGTCTATTGTCTGATCCAAAGACTAGTCTAAGGACCAGTCTATGGACTACTTTATAGTCTTTGGACGAGACTTTAAACAAGTCCTTCGGCTAATCTATGAACTTGTTTATTGACAGTCTATGGAAAAGTTTTGGACTAGTTTATTGACTAGTTAATAGTATAGACTATTAAGTTAACTAGTTTGTCCAGTATATGGTCTAGTCTTGTGCATACATATATGAATGTAAATGCACTTGTTTAATCTATGGACTAGCCTTTTGGCTAATCTATAAACTACTTCATTAACTGGTCTATGGACTACGATTTAGTTTATTAACTACTCTATGGATTAGTTAGTATATCTTCTTTATGTCACTTATAACTTTTAACAACTCCTTCACAGATTCCTCGCATGTTTCGACCAGATTTTGTACTCATACGTCAACCACCGCGTGATGGATCCAACGATTATCGTTCAACAATTTTGGGCTTGAAATATGGAGGAGTGCCTAGTATTAATTCATTGCATTCCATCTATCAATTCCAGGTAAATAAAATAAACTTTTAAACAATGTTATTTTATAAATATTAATAAAACCACTTTTATTTAAAGGATAAACCTTGGGTTTTCGCTCATTTGCAACAACTACAACGTCGCATGGGCAAAGATGCTTTTCCTTTAATCGAACAATCATTCTTTCCTTCAGCCAAATATTTGGTAAGTTTTAAATTTAAACTTTATTTTTAAAACAGAGATAAAATCGCATAATATATATAGTTCATATATAATAACATATCAAATCCGTTAATCATAAAGGTAACAATGGTTTCTTAAGCACTTTTATGTTCCTTCCATAAACCATTTATAAATAGTTAATAAACATTTATGAATAACGGCATTAATCTGTGATTAAAACAAACAACTTAAAACTTAATTAAACTTAAAACTATTTTAACAGTAAATATACATAATTTAACTTACAACTAAAACATAAATTAATAATTAACTTCGAGCAAAATTTACAAAATACAACGGTATTAGATTATATATGACACTGTAAATTCCCAAAAAAAACGAAATCATGGATTTGACATGCATTCATCATATAAAGGCGTTCTTCTCCAACGACATTGTCTAATAGGACCCTCAGGTGTACGATATGTTGAAGGCATGCAAGCACTAAACTCAGTTTCACACTTAGCCATAGGAGACCATTTGCAACCGGTATCGGTTTCGGTATGAACCAAACAGCTATTACCAAAACAGGTTTTAACCTAAAATAGATATAACAAAAACACAAATTTTAGATTCTCTATATTAAAACATTTCTATAAATATTCTTTCACTTACCTCACAACCACATGCCTTACGATAAACACCCGAGAATCCTTTTCTCTCTATAATGCTCATTTTCTGATACTCTTTGACATAATTACATAAACTCAATTGAGCTCCCCGACCGGCTATAACATACAATTTGCCCAATATCAAATTAACACCACACATACTGTCCTCGAGCGGTGTAAGTACACGACCATGTCTCAATGTTTTATGACCTTCGGGTGTCATCTGTTGTTTATAAATATGAAAAAAAAGATAAAAAGATTATCAGCATTTTATATTGGGATTATAAACTTAAATAAAGAAACTTAAAAACAAGTGAAGTTCTCTTATAAATAGTATATAATGAAGATTACTAGTAGTGTAAGTTGTATAAGTCTACAACTACTATTGAGCGTGTTGATTTATTTACCTTGTAGGATTTTTTTATTTCCACTTTATAGGCGGCTTGATGTTTAACCAAACGTGTAGATTTGCGCAGGACACGTACAACCACAACTACAAATAGGAGAATCAAAGAAAAAAAGAAGAGATAACAAGTTGGTTTTAACTGACATTATTCAAAGGGCTTGTAAAAAATTTTAGTTCAAAGTTTTTTTTTCTCATTTTTTATTTAAATTAAATATAAGTTTTATACTTATACTCCTTGTATTTTAATGTTTTGAGTTACGTCAATGTTATAATAGATATTTACAGTAGTTTCGAATCTTAATTCGAATTAGTTGCTGGTCACTCGATCTATTAATATTAGTTTAGAAGTTTTATAGAAATTGAAATGAACAATTTTTTAAAATAGTTTTTGAATTAATGTTCTATAAGAAAATTTTTAAAAAAGAGACATTTTAGTACATTCTCGAAATTTCAAGAAAAAGAGAATTTCTTATAAATTTCTATAAAAAATTTCTTTGAAAAATGGGAAATTTTTTAAAAATTTTCTATAAAAAAAGGAATATTCCGAAAATGTTCTATAAAAAGAGAAATTTGCCAAAAAATTTTCTATAGAAGGAAAATTTTTTCCAAAATTTTCTATAATAAGAAAAATGTTTCTATAAAAAGGGACATTTTTCTTAAAAAGATAAATTTTTCGTAAATTTTCTATAAAAAGAGAAAATTTTTCAAAAATTTTCTTTTCACTAAAAAAAATTCTAAAAAAGAGAATTTTTCAAAATTTTCCGAAAAAAAGAGAATTTTCCAAAATTTTCTGAAAAAAGAGAATTTTTTAAATATTTCTAAAAACTATCAAAATATTCTTAGACAAAAAGTAATTTTTAAAAAATTTATTAAAATTGTCAAAAAATAGCAAATTCTGAAAAAAAAAATTTCAAAAAGTTCTTATAAGAAAAAAGGACATTCTCGAAAATTTTCTATAAGAAAAAAAGAATGATTTTTTTATATAAACAAGAGAGTTTTTATAATTTTTATTTAAAAAAGAGAGATTTTCGAAGATTTTCTATAAAGAAATAAATTTTCGAATTTTTTTTAATAAAAAAAGAGAGATTTAAGAAAAAATTTCTATAAAAAAGAGAGATTTTTTTATATAAAAGAGAGAAATTTTCGAAATTTTTCTTTAATAAAAAAAGAGAGATTTTCGAAAATTTTCTGTAAGAAAACGGAATTTTCGAAAAAGATTTTTTTAATAAAAAAGGAGATATTTTATAAAAATTTCAATAAAAAAAGAGAAATTTTCGAAAAAAAAAATTATAAAAGAAGAAAAAATTGCGAAAAGTTTCTATAAAAAAGAGAAATTTTTTATACAAAAAAGAAAAATAATGTTTCTATAAAAAAGAGATTGTTGAATATTTTCTATAAAAATGTGAAATTTTAAAAATTTTTTCTATAAAAACATAAATTTTCGAAAATGTTCTATAAGTAATTTTCGAAAATTTTCTATAATAAAAAAGAGGAATATTTGAAAGTTTTCTATAAAAAAGAGAAATTTGTATAAAAGAGATGTTTGTATAAAAAAAGTAAAAATTTTTTTAATAGAAATTTTCGAAAATTGTCCAAAAAAATGTCTCTTTTTTATAGAAAGTTACGAAAACTACTCTTCTTTATAGAACATTTTCGACAATTTCACTTTTTTATAGACAATTTTCGAAAATTTTCTATAGAAAAGTTAATGTTTTTAAAATAAGAGACTTTTTAGAAAATTTTGAAAAAAGAGTTCGTAAAAATTTCTAAAAATTAATTTTTTTTTAAATATATTTAAATTTAAATAAAATTTTTTAAATATATAAATAAGAATTTTAAAAAAGAAAATTTTTTAAAAAGTTCTAAAAATAGAAATGTTAAAAAATTTTGCATAAAAAGATTTATTTAATAAAGATAGGTTTTTATTGAAATTTTCTAAGAAAAAGTGAATTTTAATTTTTCTAAGTATTTCGAAATTTTCTAAGGTGAGTTATAAAAAAAGTAAAAAAATTTCTGAAAATTTATTACAAGAAAGATTTTTTACGAAAATTTTCTTTAATAAGAGAGAAATTTTCTGTTTTTATAAAAAAAAGGAAAATCTTTGTAAATTTTATATAAAAAGTGAAATGTTCGTAAATTTTCTATGAAAAAGAGAAATTTTTGAAAATTTTCTATAAAAGCTTTATTTTTCGATAATTTTCTATAAAAAGAGAAATTGTCGATAATTTCTATAAATTTGTGAAACATTCTATAAAAAAGAGAAATTTATTTAATATTTTCTATAGAAGGAGATATGTTCTATAGAGACAGTAATTTTGGACAATATGAAATAATGGACCGATTTTAACCATTTTCAATAGGCTTCGTCATAAGAAGAGTATGTGCAAAAATTTCATCAAATTATCTTGAAAATTGCAACCTGTAGAGTGCGCACAAGGTTTACATGGACACACAGACGGACGGACATAGCTAAATCGACTCAGAAACTGTTTCTGAGCGAATTGGTATACTGTAAGGTGTAGCACCAATATTTTTGGGCGTTACAAACATCAACACAAACGCATAAAACCCTGCCCACTATAGTGATGTAGGGTATGAAAAGAGTATCTTTACTTCGTCACTATTCGACCGGTTATTGAAAATTAAAGCTGTACCGCAAATATCATTTAACATCTGTCATTATCTATAAAATCATTTAACCAATAACAGTGATTACTTACCAAACAGGTTTGGTACAATTACTCTTAATCAATTATATGTTTAAACGATTTATAGTAATAAATTAATATTTAATATAATTATTCAATCATATAAAAAGTACATCAATCAAAATTTTGAATTTCAATATAAATAAATAAAATAAAACAGTTTAATATTACTCACCATAATCTGCATTACAATAGCTGGTTTGAGGATGAGCCGGCATACAGGAGCAGGCCATAGAGGGGGTAGAATAAAATGTCAAAACGGCCAGACAGGCCAAAGTTAAAAAGCTTAAATATTTGGAAAAATGCATAATGGCAGCAACTACAAAAAAAGGAAATAAGAGAAATTATATTATTTTTTAAATTAAATTTAAGATTTTTTGTTTAGTACAACAATAACAAAATGCTAAAGAAATTTAATATTTTTTGTATAAATTTATCAACCCACACAAACTTGTTAGCAGAAAACAGAAAAACTGTGTTAATTAAACTGTTTAAAATAATTCAAATGCACTTGTAAACTTAACTTGTCCGTCTGGCTGTTTGTTTAAAACAAAAAATGTATTTTGCACTAAATTATTAACAAACAACATTTAGTTTTAGTTCATTTATTATTTGTAGTTTTCTAAAAGCATCTTCTCACATCACTTAACAAGAAAACAAAAATTGTAAAAAAATGCAAATAATGTAAAAAAAAAACGAATAATAATAAAAATTGTGACACTTTTGGTTTTTAAATGAGCAAAAATCAAATGACGGAAAATATTTAAAATCTATTTGAGAAATTCACGTGTGTAGTGAGGTTTTAAGAGTTACATTAGCACAGTGTAACGTAAGGGTTTTATGAGAAATAGTTGGTTGTTATTTTAATCAGTGGAATCATTAAATTTTATGACATAAATTCCCAGAAGAGGACAATTTTCTAATGAATTAAATTTTTATAACAGATTTAGCTGATATTACAGAACTAGTTCTATAACTAGTTCTTGGGGGTTACTCCACCCCCTCTCATTCAAACATTTTACATAAAGAAGTTCTACCGTTCATTAATCAAGCTAAAGTTTGGTAGGGATTTATTGGCATTTTGTAACAGGTCTCCCAACTAACCCGTTTATTACATGTTCTTGACCTTTATCTGGTTAACAGTAAAAATATACACAACTTGTTTCATTATTTATTAAAACATGTTTGAAACTGTCTTTAAACATATTTTAATTTATAACAATAATTAATTATAAATCAGTTGTTTTTTTTTTTTAATAAAAAGCTCAATGCCCCAAAGTTGAAAAAAACATTACAAATCTGTTTAATATTTCAAACACCCACCATAAAATACAAACCAAATGATAAATCTCTTACAAATGCTAAAGATTTGAAAACACAAAATAAATTTATAACACACTGACTTGTTAACAATTTGTATGATTTTTTTTCAAAACATGTAATTTGCATGATTAATAATGTTGATGAATAAATATAATAATAATAATAATTACCTTCTGCAATATAATTTCCACATAAAATATGTGTTACTAATAAACCAAAACTAAAACTGCACTCAAATAAAATTAACTTTAACATTTTCATATTTAATTTACATGATGTCATTTAATATTTACAATTATCAAGAATTTTAAATGTGCAATGTTTAGTAAAGATTACATTTAAACAAATAGATTAGTTTCCTTTTTGTTTTTATTTTTATATTATTTAAATGATAAGAATGTTTAGATTACTAAACAATTTGAGCAAAATTTTTACATTAGTTCATCTTTTTTAAAAAATCTTATAAAGTTACTAAATACCCTTTTAAAATAATACAAATGGTTATTTTCTAAAATTCAGCAGATCAATCCAAAAACTATAAATAAAGACATTTAAATTTCAATTTTTTTATAGAGAAATTTTCAATGACTTTTTGTAAAAAGAGAATTTTTTGTAAATTTCAAAAATGCAGTTCTAGTTCAGTTCTAGTTCTATTCTAGTTCTATTCTAGTTCTATTCTAGTTCAGTTCTAGTTCAATTCCAATTAAGTTCTAGTTCAGTTTTAGTTAAATTCTAGTTCAGTTCTAGTTCAGTTCTAGTTCAATTCTAGTTCAATTCTAGTTCAATTCTAGTTCAGTTTTAGTTCAGTTCTAGTTTAGTTTAAGTTCAGTTTTAGTTCAGTTCTAGTTCAGTTCTAGTTCAGTTCTAGTTCAGTTTTAATTCAGTTCTAGTTCTAGTTCAGTTCTAGTTCAGTTCTAGTTCAGTTCTAGTTCAGTTCTAGTTCAGTTCTAGTTCAGTTCTAGTTCAGTTCTAGTTCAGTTCTAGTTCAGTTCTAGTTCAGTTCTAGTTCAGTTCTAGTTCAGTTCTAGTTCAGTTCTAGTTCAGTTCTAGTTCAGTTCTAGTTCAGTTCTAGTTCAGTTCTAGTTCAGTTCTAGTTCAGTTCTAGTTCAGTTCTAGTTCAGTTCTAGTTCAGTTCTAGTTCAGTTCTAGTTCAGTTCTAGTTCAGTTCTAGTTCAGTTCTAGTTCAGTTATAGTTCAGTTCTAGTTCAGTTCTAGTTCAGTTCTAGTTCAGTTCTAGTTTAGTTCTAGTTCAGTTCTAGTTCAGTTCTAGTTCAGTTCTAGTTCAGTTCTAGTTCAGTTCTAGTTCAGTTCTAGTTGAGTTCTAGTTCAGTTTTAGTTCAGTTTTAGTTCAGGTCTAGTTCAGTTCTAGTTCAATTCTAGTTCAATTCTAGTTCAATTCTAGTTCAATTCTAGTTCAGTTTTAGTTCAGTTCTAGTTTAGTTTTAGTTCAGTTTTAGTTCAGTTCTAGTTCAGTTCTAGTTCAGTTCTAGTTCAGTTCTAGTTCAGTTTTAGTTCAGTTCTAATTCAGTTCTAGTTCAGTTCTAGTTCAGTTCTAGTTCAGTTCTAGTTCAGTTCTAGTTCAGTTCTAGTTCAGTTCTAGTTCAGTTCTAGTTCAGTTCTAGTTCAGTTCTAGTTCAGTTCTAGTTCAGTTCTAGTTCAGTTCTAGTTCAGTTCTAGTTCAGTTCTAGTTCAGTTCTAGTTCAGTTCTAGTTCAGTTCTAGTTCAGTTCTAGTTCAGTTCTAGTTCAGTTCTAGTTCAGTTCTAGTTCAGTTCTAGTTCAGTTCTAGTTCAGTTCTAGTTCAGTTCTAGTTCAGTTCTAGTTCAGTTCTAGTTCAGTTCTAGTTCAGTTCTAGTTCAGTTCTAGTTCAGTTCTAGTTCAGTTCTAGTTCTAGTTCAGTTCTAGTTCAGTTCTAGTTCAGTTCTAGTTCAGTTCTAGTTCAGTTCTAGTTCAGTTCTAGTTCAGTTCTAGTTCAGTTCTAGTTCAGTTCTAGTTCAGTTCTAGTTCAGTTCTAGTTCAGTTCTAGTTCAGTTCTAGTTCAGTTCTAGTTCTAGTTCAGTTCTAGTTCAGTTCTAGTTCAGTTCTAGTTCAGTTCTAGTTCAGTTCTAGTTCAGTTCTAGTTCAGTTCTAGTTCAGTTCTAGTTCAGTTCTAGTTCAGTTCTAGTTCAGTTCTAGTTTAGTTTTAGTTCAGCTCTAGTTCAGTTCTAGTTCAGTTCTAGTTCAGTTCTAGTTCAGTTCTAGTTCAGTTCTAGTTCAGTTCAGTTCTAGTTTCTATAAAAAAGATAAATTTTCAATAATTTTCTCTAAAAATATAAAAAAGAGAAAATTTCGAAAAAAAATTTCTATAAAAAAAATTTTTTAAAAATTTAAAAAAAAATATAAAATAAAGAATTTTTTGTACATTTTCTATAAAAAAAGTAATTTTTGAATAAGTTTTATACAAAGTGGATTTTTTTTATGTGAATGTTTTGAAAATTTTCTATTAAAAATAGAATTTTTTTAAAATTTTCTATAAAAAGTGAAGTTTTATAACAATTTTCTAGAAAAAATGATTAATTTTTGGAAATATTCTATAAAAAATAGAATAGAAAATAAATTCTCTTAAATAAAGAAATGTTTGAAAACTAAATTTTTAACGATACTTTTATAAAAAGGAAAATTTTGTCTTAAAAACTTCTTTAAACATTTTTACTAAATGTAAATGTTAACCAAATGGGAAATTTTGTTCCATTAATTCCTGCTATGAAAACCCTAGTTGTTTTACAACAATTAATAAGACTTTAAAGCCAAAAAAAAAAAAAAAATTAAACCAGAAATCTTTTATTAAAATCTGGCAAATATTTTGATTGTTTTATGACAGTTTTTTTTTTTATAAACGATTAAACGTGTTGTTTGGTGTTTTTGGCAGCTCGTTTAAAGAACAAAACCAATAAAAAATAATTCCCAAAACAAAATATAAATAAACAAAAGTCTATTAAAATTTAATATTTTTAATTCTATAAGCAAAAACTTTTTATTAAACAAAAAATAAACAAAATGTCTGCATGTGTTTTTTGTTTAAAATATTGTCCCCAACATAAACAGAATTTGCACAATTAACAACGGGGGCTGTTTAACCAAATAAATGAACATTAAAACGCCATATGATACTTTTATATAGCAGCTCCTGGTCAGCATTTAAAAAGGGGAGCAGTCGTAGTTTTGTGGCTATTTAATTTTGCCAATGATATTTATTGATTATTGTTTATGCTGTTTATCAATGTTTTTTTTTTTTTTTTGGTTTCATTTAATGTTTTTCTCTTTTATATTTATCACAAAATTAGTAAATGTATTATAAAAATATTCAAGTTCAGTTCATGTTCTTTTTTTATAACTTTATGAGCCTCCTAATTGTGGTAATTTGATCTATGAATGGCACTAAATTGTTGTTGTTATTGTTGTGTAGGAAATTATAAATAATGTTTTCATATTAAATAATTAAGCTGGAAAACATAATTGGTGGCTGTTTTTTTTTTTTTTTTTTGGTTGGTTCCATTATGTTGGTATTTATGTATGTGTTTAGTGGGAGGAACAGGAGAATGTAAAATATAATTTACATTAGCTGCTAAAAATTCATTAATATTGTAGGCTTTTACGATGTCAGTTAAAATGTTAAAGATTTGTAAGCAGTTTTTAATGAAGTAAATTGTTTCAAATTTAATTTAAAGGAGCAGCTAATTGTACATTTATGAGCCTTTAGAGAATAAAGTTATGAAACATGTAAGCATTAAAAAAAAAAAAACTTGATTTCTAAGGAAATTAATTTTATTGTGATGGAAACGAAGAGAAAAGAAAAACAGCAACCATTTTATAAAGACATGTATTACACAGAAGTTGTCAAGTAATGGGTGGTTTTAATTATAAAACTTTCGAAAAATGGAAAATTTTTGGAGGTGCATACATTTAAAGAATATAATTTTTGAAAAACATCTATAAAACTAAATGAAAATTTTCCCAAC